GGGGGGGGGGGGAGTTGAGGGCAGGAAAAAATGAGCATTTGAGGCTCCGTAGTTGTAGGGTTCTAACGCAACCTCAGTTTTTTTTCATTCAATCCTTGAAATTTTGGTCAATGTGCTGGATTGTTGTATTGCACATGAAACGCATCAAATGTTGTCCATGATCATGCTGTTTTTTTGTAGAGTAACGAGTCAACAATTGCCATCCGACTGGAATTGATCCGACATTATATGGCACCACAAAGTGGAATTATTTCCCAACTCCCAGTCCGATTCGGTGTGACCTGTTTAATTCCACGCGATTATCGTATTCAATCGGATCCGCTTGTGGCTCCCGAACTGATTGCTGATCTGCTCGGTGGTACCAGTGGAGTGGCTGCCTCGTTGAAGATGTTCCGTGATCCACAGTAAGTGTCCACAATGTGGACCGGGTGTTGTTTCATTTTTCGTGCTCCGGGTCAACTGCGAATACGCCGCTATCGGAAATCAATTGAGAATTCATATGCAAAGTTCAAAGTTTATCTTTTGCATGATTTGATTTTCATTGTTATTTTCTCGATAAATAAAGGAACAGCAGGAGTCTCATGTGTGTGTGTTCTGATTGTGAGATACAGAAATAGACACTTGCGAATGAGAGTTATCCAAATAGAGGTAACTGATTACATAACCTAAAACTGGGACGATTTCGTTATCATGTTGCTGCTTCCAGGTTTATTCTGCTTGCTTCATCTTCTCCTTCCTCGCTGATCAACCAAATGCTTGACTGAAAGATGGTGACAAATAGTGGGGCTTGGAGGTCCGGGATTCATGGATGTATAAAATGAAAGTACACTTTATTTTTCAACGAAAATTTTTTTCACATACACTGTCAGCATAAATGTTGACCTTCTGGTTGACATTGTTGGAATCGTACAAAGTTGACCATATTTTCGGTATTTGCTTCAACTTGTGGAAATGTTCTCAGATCAAATCCACAACTCGCAACACAATAGGGTGTCCATTTGAAAGTTAAAATAAAGATCTCGCTGAGCTAGGTGAGGTCATTTACCCAAATATCTTCATACTATGATATGATTCCATGAAAGGTATTTAATTATAGTCAATCTCGTTAGATGTTGTGCAGAACTGATGAGAACGTCACTGGAGTACTGCCCGACCGACCTGATTCAATATAAACTACTGGTGATTCCTAAAGATTAGAAATAACAATGGGATGTTTCAAACATTTTGTCTATTTTACTTCCTGTTTTATTTATTGAGCATATAAATGTACAGTCGATTTCCAATAAGGGAAATGCAACCAAACAAGGGCTGATACTTGGGGAAATCAAGAAGTGGGGAAGATGACCAATAATGATTTGATTCAGATGAATACTTACACATTTAAATGCACACAAACAGTGGGAAATTAGCGATCTCCCAAGGAGTGAAACCCACACCAAAGATCATCAAGAGTGCCCTAGTGCCTCTGAACAATCGAATGGGCTAATCCAAGCTTGATACTATAAACTTACGAGTATGTTCCTGATGAATACAAATATCAGTTTTATACCTGAATTTATTTATTGACTTTTTTTGGCACCTAATTAGGCCATCTCTATCTTTTTTCTCTTCCCGTAGTTTTCAACAACCACTCAATAAACCTTTGGCCATTCGACCGGGTGAAACTGTCTACGCTTTAGTTTCATTGTCTCGAACACAAAACTCCGGGAAACTTATACTTGAAAACTGTTGGGCTACAACACAATCGAATCGAGATTCCCTACCCCGAGAAGACCTCATTCGTGATCGGTAAGTTCTGGTTATATTTTTTATAAATATAAGTATATATGAATTAAGTAGTATATGAAGGACTCGAAAACTTTCCTTGGAAGCACGCGGCCTGTTAAGCGGTTCTTGCCCCTCGTCAGGTGTGCGTTTCCGGCAATCGTTTTGCCAGTTAATTCATATATACATACTTGAACCTGAAAAGTTTTTAGTCAGTAAGTACTTCATTTATGTGTTACTTACTACTATTAAATGTTCTATAATGACACTCAGGTCGTTTTTGCGGTTAGTAACATCTAACCCATTAGATAACCCATCGGATTGGTAAATGAAAGAACAATAATCTAAAGAGTGGAAGTTGTAAACGCGAAGAGAAAATATTTTTTTCTTTCTTGAATTGTTGTTTTATGCACTGATGAAAATTAAGGTATATGAGATAATCGATGAAGATTTACTGGCTTAGATATACGATGTTATTTGTTCCAGATGATTGCAGAGATAAAGCACTATTTGCATCATTAGTAACAGCCCCAAAAGACTTATTAAACAGTAGTGAAACTTATTCTAACACAAATGAGTACGGAAACTACTCGCCACGTGACCATATTCATTGATATTTGGTACGTAGATTAGAAAGCTTGTCACACACAAACACGTCAATCAGTAATCGACGTATCGGTACTGGGTAAATTGGTCTCAGTGAGTTGCTGAGACACTGACTCGAATAAGAACGCCGTTAACCCTAAATTGAGTGGTTGGGTTGATTAATTCTGAAGATCAAAAGTAGCTTCTTTAGGTATTTCTGTACTGTGTCGCACACTCTCGCTTCAACTGCTCTACATCTTCGGACAGCAACTCTATCCTTTTTTTGTTTAACTCCCTCAATACAAAGAAATGGTTGAACAATCCTCTTACTTTTAGTGGAAGCGGTTGCGCTGGCCTAGTTGGGTACTCCGGAGAAGCCAATCGAATGTGAAAAACGGAGTAAATGATCTCTTCACCATCCTAGTATTGCAATTTCACATACCTTTAGCTGATCCACAGAAATAATGGTCGTTACAAACGCTTCGAAATGACATTCAGTCGCTGGGTCTCGGAGAGTGACACAATTCGATCTGGCACAAAATAGTCATTTGGTATCCGAATTTAACTGCAATTGTGAGCAACACCGCGTTGACAATTTTTTCTAATGCAGTAAACCAGATAGATACATGGGCCATTGGCAACACATGACGTGATAAGATGAATAATGCAATCTCGTATTGGTAGCCCCATTTTCGAGAGAAGCAAAATGATCGCACGTTAGTGTGTGAAACTTTCAACGAACAGCCACTTTTGCAAGCTGATCCGAATGGCCCACATTTCAATAAAACGTACTTGAGGGTCATGTGGGATCACATACAATGAGTCTGAGCATGCACTAGTACTGATACATTATACGTTTCGATTCATCGATCACTGGCAGAATTAGCAGCCTCCGTTAATCCACCATCGTTTGTTTGAGCCAGCTGTATAATCCATCTGAAAGGTAAACTGAGGCTTAAAACAGGCGCAGTTATACGCGGCAGAGTATTTTGAAACTGAGATCAAATAAAACGAGTGAAATTTTATTTCTGATGGTCGTCAAAGTGTTATCTTTCAGGATAATTCGCCGTTTAAAACCCCTAAACGGGACAAATTTCCGTGAACAGTGGACACAATTCCGACCAGGTGGTGGTTCTATCTAGAAAATTATCAAGTTGCATCAAGTCCTCCATTTACTTCCTACATGTCGTCAACCAGGGATCTCAATGTTTCTTGATTTCAAACATGCTTTTACCTTAGTTGATCCTTAAGGTTTATACCTGCATTTGGATACAGCAAATCTATCATCAATAAGAAACATTTGTTTTGACTACAAAGATCTAAGTTACTTGGGTAGTGAGTGTACGTGAATGTTATTTATTTTTCCTTATATCCCTCGCTGTGACTCACTACTTGAGAGATAGTAACGAATCACACGTTTTAATTTCGCGATTTATTTCTATTTAACTGAAGTGACCTAGAAATTTTTCCGATGCCTAACACTGACGAGTTTTACAGATGAAATAGAGAAAATCTCATTTCAGACATGTAAAGCTTAACAGCACTATATAGGTGATTGTTTGTGTTGTTGAGTTCTCCGAGCTGGAAGTGTGGTTCGCAGACGGTTCGTAGCCAAACTAGGTAACATCATCAGTGCGACTTCGGCGAAGCGCAAGTCCTCAGTGTGATCGCGATCATATAGTTCTGTTTGAGGGTGTGGTTGGCTGTTTGCGTCCCTTTTAACAGCCAACCAAAACCCTAAAACAAGACTATATAAACCCAACCCCACTGAGGACTGGCGCTTCCCCGAAGTCGCACTGATGATGCTGCCTCAGAATATCTGGAAAAACGCTTCCAGAGCTTCCAATATCTGCACCCCGAGCTAAAATCATTCCAAAACATTTCAAACTATTTAAGTAAATCGTATTTTTTCCTTCTACACCCTCTCACTCGTATCCTCGGTCTCAGTTGTGCGGTTTACGACGGTCTGACCGTGGTCCCGCTTTCTCCGAACGAAGTCGGTTTCACTTTTAGCGCATTCTATTTGGGTCAGGCCGGCGCGGTGGTTCCCGTCCCGACCAATCTCTATTTGCACTGTGATACCCGAGTGTGTCACGTGAACGAGACATCCAGTTCGTGCACTCAGTTCTGTCGTAAACCGATTGTGAAAGGAGATTCAAGTTTGGTGAAAATACGGCGAAAACGTGATGATTCCGCGGTGATTCGGCGTCAAAATATCCCGGTAACTGAAGGACCTGTTCTCGTGGGGGATACCGACTAAGCGGTTCATGGAAACTGATCCGAAGGCACCCCCCCAGAAAAAGAATAGTACATTGTTTTTTCGCAGTAAGTCTTTTACCTGTTGTCTTGTTTCTACAAATTTGTTAGCAATTGTATGATCATGATGGCACATCACCTTGTGCTGCATCCAGTTTTTATTCCTTTCCCTCAATTATTACGCAAGCATTCCTAGTCACCATGATGTGATCTAATGGGACTAGCACATACAGGTTGGGCATAATCTACTCCTTTAGTTTCCTGCAACAAACAAACTCTAGCCTGTGATGAAACATACAGCAGCTGCTCCACTTCGGAAAACTACTCGATACGGAAGTTAAACTAGTTTGAGGCTAAGCTTAACCAGAAACTCTTGATGAGATTGCATGAAAAACAAAAGTAACTTCCCACTAGGAAAATGAGATCTACCAGGTTATTCGATTTCGGCACAGAATACGTGTACGACTGACAGGAATGCGTGGTCCAATGTGAGTTACATTCACACCTATCAAATACTGAATGAGCATATTAGGAAACGATTGACAGCCATGCATCAACGCGCTGCTGCGCTGCAAGTCACACATGGTTGTGAAAACAACTCGAGGCACACGGATAACATGCCGGAAAATGCTGAGGCATATTTCGTACCACAACACTTCCGTGAAACTTTGTGATCTGCACGATCGTAGTTTATCCCAGCTCAGGAGTCAGCTGAGGTAGAAAAAGTCACTTAGCTTCACGTATTGAGACCGTTTGTGTTAATCATATCACCCCTTATGCGCAGTTGTATACCTGTAGCCTTTAACACCTAATGACACCTAATTAATAGAAAGTCAGTTCAGCTCAACTTGAGACATTTGTGGCACCGTCGCGACATCCGGCTGTCTGTGAGGGGTTGAATATATACCGCGGCGGTTCGACTAGTTCTGTTATACGGCGCAGAAACTTGGCCATTAAGGAAAGAGGATAAAGATAAACTGTCGGTGTTTAAACACCGTTCTCTACGCAGTATTGCACCAATCTGGTGGGGCAACCGAACAAGCAATGCTGAGGTGAAGCGTAGAGTTTTAGGTAATCGCGGTCGTTCACTGGAGCAAGTGACCGACCTGCATAGATTACTATGGTTGGGGTATGTGTTACACATGTCACCAGATAGGTTGCCGCGGTGAACGATGTTTGCTAAGGCTGGTAGCGGTTGGAAAAAGATCAACGGTGGTCAAACTAAGACCTGATATGAGGATATGTAAACCCCAACCAGGAGACTAGGTCACATGGGCCCCGTTAGGCTCCTTGGCTGGGGACCTCGGGACAATGGTCAGCGATGGTTAGCTATACTGAGTGATATGGCTGGGTGTTGCAAATAGTGGCGCTTGTGCATCCATTTATTATTCTCCTATCAATATTCTATATGAATTATTCATCTTTCGCTTGAATTCCAATCTACATTCTGCTCTTTCATCCAAATTGGGCACCAAAAGACTGCAACCAAAACCGGCGTATGAAAGTTCATGGTTAGTGATTGTAAAAGCTGAAACTGAATTCAGCTCAACCGTGATCCTTGTTTTATTTTTTTCCAAACCGACCAAATAATTATTCGGTAAGTTTTGATAATCTACTAGCTGATACAATCTTTGGACTTACAATTTATTACTGTGGATTGGATTGTAGTTCTTTGTCTTTGACGTAGAAATTATTTCACTTAGTTCAGTTCAGTTTTTACAATGATGAACCGTGCACATTCGTGCGCCGGTGTTGATTGCTCTATCATGACTAACCATTTGGATGAAAAAGGCAATGAATGATGTGAATGGCCAGTTGAAACTCGAGAATTCATGAATACGAAAGTTGCAACAACATTGAGCAGATACACGAGCAGCAATGTTTACGACACTCTTATTATTGCTGCTTATCATTCAAACCATTGATTAAATTGATCCAGGAAGGCAGACTAGCAGGACCAGTTTTTCAGTTTTTTAGTTTAAACAACCATTAAGCATGCATTTCCGTCCGACGCTTTTGGTTGCTGTCTTTTGGCTACTCATCTTGGTGAATAATAGGGAAAAAAACGGGAAGGTTGAAAGTAGGATCAACGAGAAAATTGAGTTTAGTGGACTAATGATGCAGAGAAATTGAGAAGATGCACGAACGCCACTGTTTACGACACCCAGCCATATTACTTAGTGTATCTAACCATCGTTTAAGGTCATCCCGAGGTCCCCATTCAGGTAGCTTAATGGGACCGATAATCAACGCACCGGCGAACAACAAACTTAACCGAAGTCCGAGGGCCTTGTGTGACAGGTCTTTAGAAGCTCCCACACGGGTGCTTCGCTCACGCTTCTACGTTGAATTTACGCCCCACTGCCTTGTGGGTTAGACTTTTGAGTCAAAGGCTCCGGTTAGGGTTCCCAAAGAAAAAACCCTTGTTCTATGTGGGCTACCGCGAATTATGTCCTGCTTAAAGTCCTAGGCACCCATTTGGAAAACCCTCCTAACACGACCGATGTGAACCAGTTTCCTGGTCATGCTCGGTCTTTTGTTTTTGCCATGCAACACCTGCCTCGGTAAACAACACGCGCTGTTGCAATCTATTCAGTTAGATGCGCAAAACAATGTTCCAATTGTTTTAGTCTTCTTGTTCCAGTTGGAAACCGCGGTTACATAAAATCCTACGCAAAAGTTCGACATATACTTGTCCGGTTTCGCAATCAGACTCGTGCTATGCGGTGTAGATAGACCCTTAAGGGGTATACACTTACACTAATTCAGTAAAATGTATTTTTCTGTTTCGATGGAATCATTTGGTGTTTGAGGAAAACACTCTAGCCCCACAAAGTTCTTCTGAACTGCCTTTTAGCAATGATTGAAATAGTGAATTTTGAATCTTTCAGGGGAAATAAAATGCATGGGGTGGAAAACAAAAATACTGGAAGAAGAGAGGCGGAACGAACTGAGTTTGATACGAATAGTTGTTCGTTTATAAAGGCACAAAGATGACTATCTGTAGAAGTTCCATTCAATCGTTGGGATCGATTGAATAGGTTTTTCGTAGTCAACACAAGCAAATAAATGACACGGTGGTGGTAAGACCAGGGACACAATAAGCAAGTGATCGGAAGTAGAATTAGACTACGAAATTTTATCTTCCACAACCGAGCCATATAAATTGATAGACCACGTACATTGGAAACGGTATCCGGAATACGAAAAGACCATTTAGGAATAGATAAAGTTCAAACATTAAAATAACGCAAAAGCGGTAATTCTTATCAGCGCATTCGTCCTTCTTTAGTCTAAGAAAATGCTAATGACTAGAATTTGGTAATTGGTCAGGATATTTTTAGTTACAGATTTAATGAAAGCAAAGGGATTTGAACTACTAATAAATAGAATGATTGTCGGCTGATCACTGTTGTAAACTGGGTGAAAGGTGAAAATATTTATGTACGTAAAATTAACGGTTACGTGATAGTTCGGTTCAGTTTTTATAACCATTAATCATGCACCCTCAGAAGGTGCGTTCGATGCAATACAGTAGTAAGAAAGTGTAAAACGATTATAAATGACTAGGGAATGAGTTGAACAAAACGAAACAGAGTACCAAGTAGTCTTATCAGTATATGAATTGAATAAGAGACACAATGCGATCGAACATGTTTTTGGTGAATTAATGTTCAAATCTTTTCGATCACATAGGAAACGCAGTTTGGTAGGGTCAAATGAAAAGTTGTTGAGTCAGGTCTCGAACAACCCAGTCCACGCCAACTCACACATGGCCGGAGTGGAAAAGTGTCAGGTTCAATTGTTGCTTATCTGGTAGATGTGGGACACTTGACATATGCTCGACATTCAAAATCATTTATCGAGTCGCACATACCATAGTCTGAGAACAACACGATTTCGGACATCAGCGACCGCAGAGTCGATTAGCATCCGACTCATGAAACCCGAAGCTCTCAGTATAATGAAAACTGATTCAAGCTTTCATACCTCCCTAACCAAGCAGAAGAAAATAGCTTGTTCACATGATAATGATGGACTGTAAATAATTTTGAGTACGTTATCCAAACAGCGTACCAGTTTGAAGTTCGGACGTGCGCATTAACATACACATGACTCATCCACTTTTGTTTGACCCTATTTAGTTTTTTCACATAAACGTAATTGCAACGGCTTGAAAATTAATTCAACAAAAAACATATGTTCGCCTACATTGTGCGTTCGTATACGATGAGCGTATTCCGTGAGTTGGATCAGAGGCATATTAAAATTTATTCTGTGGTTGAGTTTGCTTCTTGATTTTGCTTAAATGTAAAATATTATACTACTCAAGAGTAGTCGGGTGTTTATATGGAAATAAAACTTTGTTTCTCTGAAAGCCGCATGAGTGTGTTGACGGCTGTTTTTTCCCTTTGCGATCTGATTGTAACTCGCCGTGATTCTCAATGGGAACTGTATCAACCTATTTCGATAGCTTCTATATGAATGCAAGCCGTGTACATTAATTCGACAACAGGCACGTAAAACTGAATCCAATGCAGTTGTATCCTTCCCAAAAGGGCTTTTCTCCCGAAAGCCCAGTTAACTGATATCATGTAGAGCATAATTCTTCAATTATAAATGGACATCACTCAGTGAAACACTGCGATAAGAATTTACTCATTAACGCAAAGTACTGCTAATCCGAATCGCCATCCACATGAGCAAACCTGACTGGTGACACCATTATTTTTCACTATGAGCTCACTTTGACAGACAAACCAAGGCTCACAAACCGCTTCCGATAGACATTTTCACCTTCTACTTGCTAAGCTACTTGATAAAAAACCGTACAAACGATGCTGCGGTTAGGAGTAGAGTTTAAGGTGACAGCGGGGCAAGTAGTTGATCTCCATAAACTACGTCGGTTGGGACATATGTTGCGCACGTCACCAAATAGGTTGCAACGGTGCGTGATGTTTACCGAAGGAAGCCGGGGATGGAAAAAAGTGAAGGGCGGTTGAA